TATTGCGTCTTTGTTTTGGTTTTGTGTCTCTTTGTACTTGTTTTGTTCTTTGTGTAGATGTTTTGTGTCACTTTGTGGTCATTTTGCGCCATGTCTCTTTGAGTGACGTTTTATAGGTGAGGGGTCGGGGGGGCCCTGGACACAATGGGCCCCTGGTCCTGTTCCCGGTAGCCCCCTGTTCAGTAACCCACACATTCCCTGAATCTCTCCAAAGACTTCTTAACCTGCCTGTCAGACGTCCATATTCATCGGCAGAGCGCTGAACATCTACCCGCTGTCCTTCCTTCTCAACCTCGGCAGGAGGCACAAGATCAAGGGGAACTTCCAGCACATGATGATGTTTGCAGGTATGGAGATCACGTCATTTCCTCACTCATCGACTCATCCGACCAATCGTTGCAGCTCTGATGTGATTGGATGATTCCTGGATGTGATCCTCTGCAGGTCTGCGCGGGGCGATGGCGTTCGCGTTGGCCATCCGGGACACGGCCACGTACGCCCGCCAGATGATGTTCACCACCACGCTGCTCATCGTCTTCTTCACCGTCTGGGTGTTTGGGGGCGGGACGACGCCCATGTTGTCATGGCTACACATCAGGTGACCTAACAATTTTAATTTAATGTTTGCAGTAAAATCTGCATCTCGTCTTAAATACATTGAAGTCCCCACAACTAAAAGCTAACATTTCTGAAAACGTCGGAGGAGAGACGACACTTCTTTTGTAAAAAAAGTGATCAGAGTTAGACTTCCACAATACATTATATTATAATGTAATATAATATACTATACTATACTACATTACATTATACTATAGTATCTGATGAAGGACCAGACACGTGATCTCTAACATTGATTTAGTGATTTGGGATCATAAGAACAGGATGATTAATAAAGGATGGTTGGTAAAGGATGGTTAACAAAGGATGGTTAACAAAGGATGGTTAACAAAGGATGGTTGGTACCGGATTGTTGGTACCGGATCGTTGGTACCGGATTGTTGTTTAGATGAGAATGTATTTTAAAGATTTTAGAACTTCTTGCATCGCTGCTCAAGAAAGACTTGTTTACATACAAGAATAATAAGTCCCCGTTGATTCTTTTCTTAATTAATAATGAATAATCTGGAAGCATTATATCGTAACGATGCCGTTGGTACTCCTAACATGATTGGTTCCTAAATGATCCTCGAGCTCTCCGGTGGAACCGAGTTGTCCAGGAGGTGGAGCCAGAGATCTCTGACGTTCTTCCATCTACAACTGTACAAAATATCTCCGCACATAAAACCAGTTAATAAACAACTTTAATCATATTTATTACATAAAATAGATCAATATAAAAGGCCCATAACTCATCTTTCTTTTAAAGTCTTAACTTAACTAAATAACTTCTATGACGGATGAATCGGACATTAAACAGGAGCCTCTTCCATCAGTCATCACTACAGTGAGTCTGAACAGAGTTTACTAATAAAAAGCAAAGATTAGGACAGTCAGGAGTTCATTGTGGAATAGATTTGAAATGAGTGTTCAGTACACTAAACGGATAAAAACAAAATAAGATGATCAACAAATGTTTGTGTAATATTTGTCGTTTGGGACTTTATACAAAAACAAATATATTTTATTTGAAGGAAAAGGTGTTGCTGATTACACGTTACACTTTCTACAGTCTTCCTATTGTTCTTATTGAATTAAAGTAATGATTGTGAAAAGCATAAAGGTGTAATAAACTACCACCTTTCAGTCGGCAGTAACCTGTTTTAGTTTATCACGACTTGAAATCGAATGACTTATAATTGGCTTTATTATTTTTATATGTATATTTGACTTCAAATTACATATGAAAACTAAAGCTGTGAGCAGCGATGAACGGGCCCTCGCAATCTGCAGCACGTCGGGGGTGGCGGCGGGACTCCGGCCTGCGCGTCAGAGAACGTCCACGACCGTCGGACGGCGCGTCCGCGAGCGAGACGTTTTTAATCCCGCGTGGACCGCCTGATGCCGGAAATGATGTTCTGCAAATAGTCCGATGCTTCCTGCTACAGAACGCGTGCAAACATGCATCATGTAGCTCTGTGTCAAGTGTAAACCACATGGTGTAAAAGTCATGTAAATCTGATGGTGTTTGTCACAAAATCCAGATTTCCTTTCGCCAGCAGGTGGCGCTGTGAGTATTAGTGAAAATAATCTTGTAGACATCCTCAGGCCATGAGTGGTATCAAGCATGTGATGTTTGAGACCGTTTGGAACAAGTCCAGCTGAGTTACATCAGACATTTCCTTTAGCCAGTAGGCTTTGCGGGTTTACTGTAGCGCCCCCTAGTGGTCGAATGCAAAACAATTCTCAGGGTATGTTACTGGATGCGATGTGCACATATGCTGAATATTTTGGGAATTTAGAACAAATGGTTGAGAAGTTATGTGTATTGATATTTTGCCACGCACCTAAGAAGTGTATTGGTCCATAACTTGTAAACGCAAAGAGAACTTTTGATGATCTAGATCCACTTATGATCCACAGCAAAATTTTGTAGAAATCGGACCCAGCGTGTAGGAGTTCGCAAAAATGTGTTTTTTTTCACTAAATTCAAAATGGCTGACTTCCGCTAGGGTTTAGAGCATGGTTCCAAAAGACTTATTTTTAAGTCTCCATAGGATACATGTGCCTACCAAGTTTCATACATGTAGCCAAAACGTAGCGCTAGGGCTGCTCTTTTGAAATATTGTAGGGGGCGCTATAGAGGCAATTTAAAACGGCCAATAAAGAAAATCATATAAACTATTTCTTCCAATGACCTGTGACACATGTACAAAGTTCCATGAGTTTTTGAGCATCCCAACTCACTAAACCATCAGCTTCCTTTTTCATGGCAAACGATGCGACGCCATGGCAACAGGGTTCAACGAAAACTCACAAAATTCATGATGATGCATCATCAATGTCTTAAGGTTATCCTTACCAAATTTTAGACTCATCAGGTCACCTGGCTAGGAGGAATAAATAAAAGTATAAAATATGACATTTCCTTTAGCCAGTAGGCGGCGCTATGAATTATTGACTTTATTTCAATTGAAGTATGTTTAAGCTTGAAGTAGCATCATGCAGAAGAAGTTTTGTGCGGAGTGGATAATGTACCTTGGAGTTATAACAACTTATAATAACTTATGTTTTGATAAACAATGAGGCAAAATGGCCGCCACGCCACGATGAAAACTCTCGATTTTGATAACTTTTAATCACAAAGGTCTTAAGAGCATCCTGACCAAAGGAGAAGTTGATCGCTTAAAATCTCTAGGAGGAGTTCGTTAAAGTGCGAAGGCTGAAATTTGCAAAAAGTGACAAAAAAGCACAACTTCGCGGGCTTACTGTAGCGCCACCTAGTGGTTGACTGCAAAACAATTCTCAGGGTATGTTACAGGATACGATGTGCACATATACTGCAAGTTTTGTAATTTTAGGACAAACGGTTGAGAGATTGTGTATTGATATTAAGCCACGCCCCTAAGAAGTTTATTGGTCCATATCGTGTAAACGAAAAGAGATATCAAAAAGCTTTTGATGACGTAGATCCAGTAATGATCCACAGCCAATTTGGTAGTAATCGGACCAAGCATGTAAGAGGAGTTCGCAAAAATGTGTTTTACACTAAATTCAATATGGCGGAAAATCTAAGTAGGCGGAGCTTAGGGGTCTGATTGGCTTTTTTGTAGATCTAGCTCAAGTGGACATGTGTGTTGAATTTCAAGTAAATCGGACATACTGGACGAGGGGCGTCGCCGGTCCGACTTGTAGGGGGCGCTATAGAGCCATTTTTTTACACAGAAAGATGCATTCTTTTTCAGATGGCTACTTTCACCAGGCCTGACAAGTCCCCAAAATTTGGTGAGTTTTCATGCATGGCAAGTCCTCCAACCATGCGTACGTTTACCCAAACGGGTACAATATCAATAGGGCCTTCGCTGGCCCGACGTCGGTTGCTCGGGCCCTAATCAAGCGAACCGAAGAAGAGCATATTTACACTCTGATAGTGTGAAACACAAACCGTCCGTGCCTCTGTGTCAGTGCTCTGATGCTCTCTGACGCCTTATTTACCTTCACAGTACAAAATAAAATCCCAAAGTCGATCAATTCATTGTCATAGTGAATCATAAAAGCAGCTCACATTGAGATCACCACTGAGCTGGAGGTGAAGCTGCATCCCGTTCCCCTGTGGGTCTCGTCTGCTTGTTGCCGGACCACAATGCACTGGGAGGGAGCCGGGTGATGTGTGACAGCAGGCAGAGGCGTCCTGAGGACAACGAGCTCCGTTTAATATGAGAAGCGCCTCCTCGGGCCGAGCGGGAACCGTCGTGTGTTAGCCGGAGGCTTTTTAGAGCACTGCCAAAATACCCCCCCCCCCCCTGTCGCCATGGAATCCAGGACATGTGGCGCATGGTGGGCAGACATGAGCTGTGTTCTTATTGTAGTGTCACATTTATCTGTAGAGTTCTACTAAATGTTCCAAAAGTTACCATTACATAATGCCTCATTTGCATATTTAAACATGACATTTCATAAAACTTATAATCCCCGTCTGTGTCTAATGTGGAGCTCAGATGTGACCGTTCCAGCTGTTCATAGTGTGATACAGATGTTTTCACACACTGTAACGTGCTGGATGTGTTTATGATGTGACAGAGTTGGGGACAGCAAAGCTTTGCAGGAAGAGCGGCGGCAGCGTGGACAGTGGGAGTACTGCAGGTGCTGTATCTGAATCTGAACTGGTGTAGCTGGTGTTGGGAAAGACGGTGTGTGGTTGCTTCAGATGGGGAACTTTTCTTCTCACTGTTTACTTTTGTTTTTCTGATGAACGGGAACATTGGGCATCGCCTCTTTTAAAGGGCCACGGGAGGAGTTGAGACTCTTAAAGAGACAGTCCTGATGTTCTGTAGTATGTGTGTGAGGTTCTCCTCCACAGTCAGGGTTCTACTACAGTAGATGAGTTGATAGAAACAGACAGGAGAACCAGCACGGGAGCAAAGTGATGTTCTGCTGTGGACGTATGTTAGACTCCTAACACAATGTCTCTCAGTTGAAGTGAAGCTATATTCAGAATGTCTTCAGCTCTTTACCTTGCTGTCAGACAGACCTTTCTGAGGGGAACTCAAGCTGTTATCTATGATCTCTACAAACACACCAGACTCCATTCACTCAAACACTGACTCTACCTCTGCCTTGATTAAGTTTTTTTGATTTTTTTATGTGTGACTTTGGTGTTTTAAAGGGTTAATTCTGGTTCACACAAGTCACACATTAACAAAGATAACAATGGCTGAAAACCAAGATGGCGATGTCCATAAACCAGGATGAATGATGGCTAAAAACCAAGATGGCAACAGCTGAAAACCAAGATGGCGACGGCTTAAAGGCAACGGTCAAAAAACCAAGATGATGACGGCAAAAAAACCAAAATGGAGATGTCCAAAATCCAAGATCTCTGTCTGTCTGACAGCAAGATAAAGCGGCAAAAGAAATCTAAATATACCGTTCACCTAAACTGATATTGATTTATTTTCCTGAACTATCCCTTTAAGAACATGACATCTTAGTCATATGAATTGGAAGGTTAGTGTCAGCATAAAACAAACGTAGATGTGATTCTTCAGCAGTGATATTTCCGTGACTTCGTCACACACCAGCACAGCCCTGGTGGAGGTGCAGCTCATTCAGGACTCTTGAGTCCGTCTCCTGTTTTGTTGCAGACTCTGTGAACTGTCCACCAGGCTCTCTTTTCTCACTGGCGTACAAAGAACAAATCACACACTGTGACAGACCTGTGTGACTCAAAACAGGAAGTTAAGAAAGAAACTGAGAGCTGCTGCTGTGCCAAAAGGGGTTTCTCCACTTCTGACTGTGAGGGTCGCACGTCTTCCTAGAGGACAGAAACGCTGAGAACGAAATGTGCTCGTGAGGAATATTCGACGGGTTTAAGGAGAGGAGGGAATGTTGTGAGGATTAGGATTAGAGGTTAGTCAGTCAGTGGGACTCTGTGTGAACATGCGTGAAGGCTTCTTATTACAGGAAACCGTGCTGCGTTCCTCTCTCCTGGCTCTTAATCTCAGATCCTTCCTAGTTTTTGCATTTCTTTGACCTCCATGTGAGCGCCGCCCCCTGAAGATCCTCTGTGTGTACATGAGTGTGTTTGTGTTGGTGGACTTTCTCCTTTCATAACCAGACGGACACGCACAAACCTGCTCCTTCTCAAGCTGCCACGGTGGTAAAGCAGACAGAAAAAACGCTGTTTCCCTCAGAGGGGATATTCCCTCTGCTGTCATGGAAAAGTCTAAAGATAACCACGAGTCCTCCTGTGCAGCTTCAGATGTGACCGTGAAAGGCTGCACGTCTCTGCCGTGGCCTCTGGGCCGCACGGATTAGACTCCACAGCTTATGTGAATTAGAAGTCGGTAAGAGACACCATGGGGGGCGGGGTGGGGGGTAAGTGGTGAGGTCAGTTTAAAGAACTTGAAGCTAACTGACAGCAGCTGGTTAGCTTAGCACAAAGAGTGGAAACAGCTAAGTGGCCAAGAAAGAGGCCGGCACGTGACCCCCATAGACTGTTTATTGAGACGTGGATGTGGTCTTTGTGACGTCGCCCATTTGTTTGTCGACGACAGTTTTGAAGCCTTGAGTTCGTCATTTTGGCCGTCGCCATCTTGTTTTGTTGACCATTGCTGTCTTGGATTCTGGCTGTCGTCATCTTGGTATTTTGCAACCAGAAGAGCGAGGCTAGCTATTTTCCCCACTGCTCCCAGTTGTGCTAAGCTAACTGGCTGCTTTAGCTTTATGTGACAGAGACATGCGAGAGTGGCATCGATCTTCTCATCCAGATGAGAGAGAGAGAATCGCTGGTCCATGTTTCAACCACAACTATTACTGTTTACTGCGACTTTGTTGTTCCTCAGCGTTATTAAAACATAATTCATCATTTGATGTTTTTATTGCTGCAGGAGGAGAATATCTGGTGGGAAATCACTGACTGCAAGGTCTGTTATTCAGATTCATGGCTGTAGAGGAATAAAACCACTTTGTTGTCATAAATTACACATGAAAGGGTTAAATCACATGATGGCGTCTTCACTTCTTGCATGCTGAATGTCTCTGTGGGTCGGGGGGGACCTGAGGGGGATTTCGGTGAAAACTTCGCCTGTTCTACACAAATGTGGTTTTGTTTGTTTTTTTGCGTCACGAGCCAAAAAGCTTCTTATCTGTATTTTAAATCTCTGCCCCGTCGGTTGTAATATCCTTCAGCTCCTCTCTGTTTATCTGTGTCTCTATCGGATTCAATGATCATTTACAGCAATTGTCCGCCACTGAGAGGTCGAACGCTCATCACTTTAATGTGTGTGGGCTTTGAAAGAGAAGACATCTGCAGGTGCAGTCGCCACAACATCAAGTCAACGACAAAGAAGAAAGAAGAGGTCACAAGAAGGGAAACTACAGACGCACAAGTGCTGACTGTCATCTAACCAAATATGAACCACAGCGTTTAGCTGCAGCTTAGTTACTTCAGAGGTGTTTGATGTTTTCTTTGTGTGTTTCAGGGTCGGTGTGGATCCAGATCAAGACCAGCAGCCTTGTGGAGACAGCTTCCAGGTCCTCCAGGGGGTGAGGCTCTCATTCAATACTTTATTTATTATTCGCTTTAAAGGAATTCTTCACCCTCAAAAAACAACCGTCTGTATATCAGTTACTCTCCCCGTGTTACCTCAGAAACCAGAGGAAGGCCTGGAGGAATTGAAGTAAATGAAAACCAAAACTGTGTCTCATTTATCCAGGCGGGTGCTCACTGCTTCACAAACACATGCCTCTTCGCTAAAACCTTAATATTTAGACGGGTTTTAGAGAAGACAGGAAGTAGTGACCTATAAAGCAGCGCTGAACTCTCAAACAGCCACTACTTCAATTTAATGTTGAAGCGGAGCTCAGCCAGCGAGTCTGAAGACCAGTGACTCTGATTCTGAGAGCGATAACGAAACAAAGCTCGACCAGATGGGATGGATGCGGGGGGGGATCCAGATGAGAACGCGATGAGAACGTGATGAGAACATGTGTGTTGTGTTTCTCCAGGAGGGCTCTGAGGCCGAAGGACAGAGTAAAACCAAACAGGAGAGCGCGTGGCTCTTCAGACTTTGGTACACCTTCGATCACAAGTATCCTTTCTGTACCTGACCCTGGTGGACACTAGAGAGAATGCAGCTTTAACACATGAAGCACTGCCTCCACTCATCAGAACCGCAGGTTGCCTCCTGGTTCTACTGGCCGTTTTGTCTCTTATACTTGTTGGATATTATTCATATGTAATTCCAGGTTGGATTCCTCTCGTGTCCCAGCACAGCAGAGGTTAACACGTTCTGACGGAGAGCCTCTCTCCTCAAAGGGACCGGTGACCCGACCACTTGAGCTGGGCATTCATGGGTTTATTCCCAGAATGCAATGCAGCCTGACTAATAACAAACATGGGCCCACTCTACTGCCAAGCATCCCCAAAATGATTTCTACCCTCAGCTGCTCACAGAAGACTTCAGCTCCAAATAGATCCTGCTGGCAGTCCTCAGCGTTATTAAAACATAATTCATCACTTGATGTTTTTATTGTCTGTTATTCAGAGTCCACCGCCAGTTTGAACCGCTTCCTGCTGAATTAGCTACTAAGTGTTTTATCAGATGTCATGGCACCGCTCTCTAAGAGCCGGTAACCAATGGCTTTATTCACGGTTCACTTATCACAAGAAGTTAAGGAAATAATAAGAAATGTTACGGAACAAGAGGGCTCCGAGTTCTACAACAGACCTCAACAAAAAGAGACAAA